TCAAAAAAAAAAAAAAAAAGAAATGATCTTAATTTCTCTGGTGGAGTATTGTACTCTGTAACATTGTAAGCCAATCCTTAGTGCTTTGCTAATGCATAGCTGCTGGGAGTAGGCTTGCCTAGAGAATGAATGATCATTATAGAAATGAGACTAATGATTTCAAAATGTTTCCCAGACCACACTCATCACCCAGGAATTATTTGACATTTCGCTGAGAGTAAGAATTCGTAACTTGTGGCTGGGCATGGTGGCTCACGCCTGTAATCTTAGCACTTTGGGAGGCCCAGGTGGTCAGGTCGCCTGAGGTCAGGAGTTGGAGACCAGCCTGGCCAACATGATGAAACCTCATCTCTCCTAAAAATACAGAAATTAGCTGGCCATGGTGGTATGCGGGAGACTGAGGCAGGAGAATTGCTTGAACTCAGAAGGTGGAGGTTGCAGTGAGCCGACGTCTCGGCACTGCACTCCATCCTGGGTGACAGAGACGTTGTCTCAAAAAAAAAAAAATAATAACTTGGAAGGAGAGGAAAGGGAAGAGTATCAAAGAAAAACTTACTGACATGATAGATAAAAACAGTGGTGATACTGCCATTCATTTTAGGAAGCCCACGGTTATTTTAGAAAGAAAATTGCTCATCACCCATTTTGTGAGATGTTGGAGTTAAGTTGGTAAACACATTTACACAAAAAGAAATACAAATAGTAAACAAGTATAAGAGAAGTTCATTTTTACTGCTAGACCCCTTTGTAAATTAGTGTTATTTTACACTTGGAAAGAGTATTCATTTAGGCAATGACTAGAAGGAAATATGGAAAAGTAGCTATGATTGTGGGTTTTTTGTATGTTTCTTTTAACCCATTTATGCCTGAGGTTGCAATTTTTTGAATTTGAAAAAATTAGACCTTCGTGATGATCTTGAGCAGTAGGATAACTCCCACATGCTTAGTATTCCAATAATGGAACACTAGGCATAAATGGCTTTCATATTACAGGATTTTTTATGTGTTTTTTTGTTTTTGTTTTTTTTTGGAGACAGAGTCTCACTCTGTTGCCAGGCACCAGGCTGGAGTGCAGTGGTGTGATTTCTGCTCACTGCAACCTCTGCCTCCTGGGTTTAAGCAGTTCTCCTGCCTCAGCCTCCTGAGTGGATGGGACTACAGGCACTTGCCACCATGCCCAGCTAATTTTTGTATTTTAGTGGAGACAGGGTTTCACTTTGTTGGCCAGGATGGTCTCTATCTCTTGACCTTGTGATGCACCTGCCTCAGCCTCCCAAAGTGCTGGGATTACAAGTGTGAGCCACCGCGCCCAGTGGTTGGTTGGTTGGTTTTTAAGATGGAGTCTCACTCTGTAGCCCAGTTTGGAGTGCAGTGGTGCAATCTCGGCTCACTGCAGTCTTTGCCTCCCAGGTCCCAGTTCAAGCAATTCTCCTCAGTAGGTGGGATTACAGGCATGCACCACCATGCCCAAGTACAACTAATTTTTGTATTTTTAGTAGAGACGGGGTTTCACCATGTTGGCCAGGCTGGTCTTGAACTCCTCAGCTCATGATCTACCTGCCTTGGCAGAGTAGCTGGGATTACAGGCACACACCCCCATGTCCAACTAATTTTTGAGTTTTTACTAGAGATGGGGTTTCACCATGTTGGCCAGACTAGTCTTGAACTCGACCTCGTTATCTGCCTGCCTTGGCCTCCCAAAGTACTGAGCTTACAGGCGACCACGCCTGGCCTTTTTTTTGGTTTCCTTTTTTGTTTTTGAGACAGTCTTGCTCTGTTGCCAGGCTGGAGTGCAGTGGTGGGGTTCACTGCAGCCTCTGCCTCAGCCTCCCGAGTAGCTGGGAGTACAGGTGTGTGCCACTACACCTGGAAATTTTTTTTTTTTGTATTTTTAGTAGAGACGAGGTTTCACTGTGTTGGCCAGGATGGTCTCGATTTCCTGACCTTGTGATCTGCCCACCTTGGCCTCCTAAAATTCTGGGATTACAGGCATGAGCCACTGTGCCCAGCTGGGTTTATTTTTTTTATCCACAGAATTATATTAAGAGAAAGAGGCTCAGCACAGTGACTCATGCTCGTAATCCTAGTAGTTTGGGAGGCTGAGCCAGGCAGATCACTTGAGCCTAGGAGTTCAGGACCAGCCTGGGCAACCTGGCAAAACCTCCTCTTTACAAAAAATACAAAAGTTAGCCAAGCATGGTGGCATGCAACTGTAGTCTCAGCTGTTCGGGAGGCTGAGGTCAGAGGATCACCTGAACCTGGGGAGGTTGAGCCTATAGTGAGCCGAGATCATGCCACTGCACTCCAGTCTGGATAACAAAGCAAGAACTTGTCTCAAAAAAAAAAAAAAAGGAATTATATTGGCTGAGTGTAGTGGCTCACACCTGTTATCCCAACATTTTGGGAGGCAGAGGCGGGCAGATTAATTGAGCTCTGCGGTGTAAGACCAGCCTGGACAACATGGCGAAACCTCATCTCTACAACAGTTAGCCGGGCATGGTGGTGTACACCTGTAGCCCTAGCTACTGCAGGGGGCCGAGGTGGAAGGATCACATGAGCACAGGAGGTCAGGGCTGCAGTGAGCCGTGTCTGCACCACCGTACTCCAGTGTGGGCAACAGAGCGAGAGACCCTGTCTCAAAAAAAAGAAAAGAAAAGAAAATGACTTAATTGATGTACATTCAATATAGAGAGGATTAGGTATCCAGATTTCCCCTCCCCCCCACACATGCACTGATCAGTACCTGGGGTTGGAGGGAGTTCCTCTGCAGATCTCCAGGGAGTTTTGTGGGGAAAACCCGTGGTTGTTTTGGATCTCCCCAACATTTTGTGGTCAAGAGCGTAGACTATAGCAATACTCATTCCAAAGACTTCAGAGTGTTGGTATAGAGTATCCATACTCTGTGGCCCTTATGAATGTTCATGGAAAACCAGGCTGTAAGGGTTCAGCATTTCCTACATCTTCAGCTTAACCAGTATACAATACTTACTAGTGGATGTGTTAAAATGGCTGCTTTAGAACTTATATAAGCTCTGAAGGATTTATCACCAGTTTTTCCCACCAAGAAAATGTTATTCTATTGAAAAGCTCAACTGTGGAGGAATTCTTGCATAACAATAATTGTTTAAAATACACACATTTATCTTTGTGGATGGAGAGAGAGCAGATGAGTTTTCTAACTAATTGTATTTTCATAATTTTGGTTTATTGGAACAGATAGAAATTTCAGGCTTTGGGGAGAATCTGAACCTGCTGAGAATTTATGAATGAGAATCATTATGGAGTTCTGTGTTGAAAACCTGGCTTATATTACCATTTAAAGATTTTATATTATTGACTGGGCACAGTGGCTCACACCTGTAGTAATCCCAGCACTTTGGGAGGCCGAGGCAGGCAGATCACTTGAGGTCAGGAGTTCGTAATCAGCCTGGCCAACACGGTGAAACCCTGTCTCTATGAAAAATAGAAAAATTAGCTGGGTGTGGTGGCAGGTGCCTGTAATCCCAGCTACTTGGGAGGTTGAGGCAAGAGAATCGCTTGAACTAGGGAGGCAGAGCCGAGATCACGGCACTGCACTCCAGCCTGGGCGACAGAGTGAGTCTGTCTTAAAGAAAAAAAAAAAAAACCAAAGATTTTATATTATTTACTTGTTTTGAGATTTTATAACTTGTGTATTCAATGAGAAAAGTGGTCGTATGGTGAGCTCAGTTGGAAAACATGGCTAGATATGGAAGCTGCACTTGAAATCCTATTGTTAGAGACAGGATCTCCCTCTCTCGCCCAGGCTGGAATGCAGTGGTATGATCATAGCTCACTGCAGCCTCAAGCTCCCAGGTTCAAGTTATCCTCCTGCCTTGGCCTCCCAAAGTGCTGAGATTACAGGTGTGAGCCACCATGCCCAGCTGGATTCTTTTTTTTTTTTTTTTTTTTGAGACAGAGTCTGTCTCTGTCACCAAGGCTGAAGTACACTAGCATGATCTCAGCTCACTGCAACCTCCAACTCCCAGGCTGTGTGTGTGTGTGTGTGTGTACACACAGATGTTGCTCTCTACCAGGTTGGACTGCAGTGGCTACCACTGCCACCACACCTGGCTAATTTTTTAAATTTGGAAAGATAAGATCTCACTATATTGCCCAGGCTTATGTGTAAATCTTTATGCAGCTTCATGCCTGCATGTTTTGTAGATGCCTGTACTTTTTTTTTTTTCCTCCGTTGGTCCTTTGGAAATTGTTCAGTTTTTTTTTTCTGTATCTTTCAACAACAAAACAAAGCATCTTTTTAATTAAGTTACTGTAAACACATAACATTCAGGAATTGTTTTAAATTTATTTGCTAAATGTTGGCACCTTATGGATGACATTTGGCCATAGCTATGCAGAGTTGCCAGAACTTGATAATGAGCAGTAATTCATCTTGAAAATTTTTCTGTTTTGCTGTTGAATCCAGTACAGATGCAGGTGTTTTCTTTCTATGACTTTTTGTGAGCAGTTGTATCTGTAAATCACCTCCTATGGAGACGGGTGTTCTGTAACTGAGAGCCAGCTGTTGGGTGTTTCAGCTAAACAGCTTGCTCCTAGTTAGCTGCTCAAATCCCCCTGAGAGGTGTATTGGCTGCCTTAGGGAATAGAGCAGACAGGGTGAAGATTCTTGCAAGGCCTTTAGTGACCCAGTTGGTTACAATTTGCTGAGATTCTCTTGCTTTGGCTTTTTCCTATGGGTGCCAGAGTTCGTCTGCTTCATATTTTTACTAATGACTCATCTTCCTGTCATATTTTCTTAGACTGGTGACTTAAGAATCTTTGGGTCATGGTTACATAGTTTCTCCTGCCACCTGTATGGAGAGGAGAAAACTGGTATTCAAACTCAAGCCTGTTATCATTTTATTTTCATTGATTTTTATGGTACATAGAAAACTTACTTTCTGAAAATGGCATTTTAGTGATTCATTGTTTTCTGTGGGAGGAAGCTTATGACCTGCTCTTTTCTTTTTCTTTTCCAGAGGGGATCTGGAAAAATTGCAAGGAAAACATCATTTCTCTAAGAAAATTTTGGGTAACAGAAATTCTGGACAACAGGTAAAGTGTATTTAAACTTTGGTGGTACTGACGAATCATCTGTAATCTTCAGTAGTAAACTGGCAGAGGGAGGAGGACAAGTTAAAAGTTAAGTCTACTTTGTAAAGCTGGGGCTCTATTGGGCATTTTACGTACAATTTAGGTGATTTTTACCTGGATCCTGGCTATAGATCTGGGAATCTCAGAATGAAACTATCCTTTAAAATGCTGTTTTAAGTGGATTTGCTGTTGATTGGATTTAATGTCCTCAAAGTTCAGTTTAGCAATCTTTTCTCTTTTTTTTTGAGATGGAATCTCACTCTTGTTGCATAGGCTGGAGTGTGGTGGTGCGATCTCAGCTCACTGCAACTTCCACCTCCGGGATTCAAGCGATTCTCCTGCCTCCCAAGTAGTTGGAATTACAGGCATGTGCCACCATGCCCAGCTAATTTTTTGTATTTTTAGTAGAGACATGCTTTCTCCATGTTGGTCAGGTTGGTCTCAAACTCCCAACCTCAGATGATCTACCTGCCTTGGCCTCCCAGAGTGCTGAGATTACAGGCGTGAGCCACCGCGCCTGGCTAGCAATCATTTTTTAATGTCTACTATAAATAAGATACAGAAGTATATTTTGTAGATTCTGTTTTATAGTAAAGAGGTATAATACTTGTTGCAAGACCATTCACTGTGGGCTTCTAAGTAAACCCAGAATCTGCTATGCTGTTCAGCCTAGCTAGGGAATGTCTTCCTAGTTCCCTTCTGTCTTTTGTTTTATTTCTTAATGATTGCCAGCAGTTTATAGCTGTACCATCTTCTTAATTCCTTTTAGTACTTGGTCAAAAATTTAAGTGTCCTAGTAAGTCACCCCTTCACAGTGGAGTTCAGCCTAGGTGTCCCTGTTTTTCTTCTCACTGGTGGTCTTTCTGTGATTGGGCCAAATAACTATCCTGTGGGTTTTTTTGTTTGTTTGTTTTTAGACAGAATCTCGCTCTGTTGCCCAGGCTGGAGTGCATTGGCACCATCTCAGCTCACTGCAACCTCTGCCTCCTGGGCTTAAGCAAGTCTCTGCCTCAGCCTCCCGAATAGCTGGGATTACAGGTGCCCACCACCATGCCTGACTAATTTTTATATTTTTAGTAGAGATGGGGTTTTACCATCTTGGCTAGGCTGGTCTTGAACTCCTGACCTTGTAATCCACCCACCTTGGCCTCGCAAAGTGCTGGGATTGCAGGCATGAGCCACTATACCCAGCCATTTTTTTTAAAATCTCTATCTCACAAAATTCTGAAGGTCTCATGAAATAATAGTATGCGTAAAGAACCTGGGTCTGGCCAGGAGTGGTGGCTCACGCCTGTAATCCCAGCATTTTGGGAGGCCAAGGTGTGAGGATCACCTGAGATCAGGAGTTAGAGACCAGCCTGGCCAACATGGTGAAACCCCATCTCTACTAAAAAAATTAAAAATGGTGGCACATGCCTGTAATCTCAGCCACTTGGGAGGCTGAGGCACAAGAATCACTTGAGCCCAGGAGGCAAAGGTTGCAGTGAGCCAAGATCACGCCACTGCACTACAGCCTGGGCAAAAGAGGGAAACTGTCTCAAAAAAAAAAAAAAATAAGGTCTGAGAAATATATCTCAATAAATAGTAGCTACAAGTTTACCTTTTAAACCCTAAAAGACATGACAACAATCCATACATTTTCAGACCTTGTAGGGCCAACAGGTGTTGTCTGAGGTGAACTGACCTGTCTAAATGTAGTAGAGAGTGAGATGCTGTTTTTTTTTTGAGACAAAGTCCTGCTCTGTTTAAGCAATTCTCCTGCCTCAGCCTCCTGAGCAGCTGGGATTACAGGCACACACCACGGTACCTGGCTAATTTTTGTATTTTTGTAGAGATGGAGTTTCACCATGTTCACGAGGCTGGTCTTGAACTCCTGGCTTCAAGTAATCCACCCACCTCAGCCTCCCAAAGTCCTGGGATTACAGGTGTGAGCCATCGCACCTGATAGAGATGCTGTTTGTTCTAACATTTGTTCCACTGTGAACCTTGAAGTTAGATTTCAGGTATTCAAAGTAGTAGTTCCTAGAGATATCGTAAATGAACAGTTAACTTAAGATTTAATATTTGTTGATTTTCTTTTGGTATTTTTTCACTTTTATCAGGGCATACCAATTCAATCACCATGAGTTGGAGCTTCCTGACTCGCCTGCTAGAGGAGATTCACAACCATTCCACATTTGTGGGGAAGATCTGGCTCACTGTTCTGATTGTCTTCCGGATTGTCCTTACAGCTGTAGGAGGAGAATCCATCTATTACGATGAACAAAGCAAATTTGTGTGCAACACAGAACAGCCGGGCTGTGAGAATGTCTGCTATGATGCATTTGCACCCCTCTCCCATGTACGCTTCTGGGTGTTCCAGATCATCCTGGTGGCAACTCCCTCCGTGATGTACCTGGGCTATGCTATTCACAAGATTGCCAAAATGGAGCACGGTGAAGCAGACAAGAAGGCAGCTCGGAGCAAGCCCTATGCCATGCGTTGGAAACAACACCGGGCTCTGGAAGAAACGGAGGAGGACAACGAAGAGGATCCTATGATGTATCCAGAGATGGAGTTAGAAAGTGATAAGGAAAATAAAGAGCAGAACCAACCCAAACCCAAGCATGATGGCCGACGACGGATTCGGGAAGATGGGCTCATGAAAATCTATGTGCTGCAGTTGCTGGCAAGGACCGTGTTTGAGGTGGGTTTTCTGATAGGGCAGTATTTTCTATATGGCTTCCAAGTCCACCCGTTTTACGTGTGCAGCAGACTTCCTTGCCCTCATAAGATAGACTGCTTTATTTCTAGACCCACTGAAAAGACCATCTTCCTTCTGATAATGTATGGTGTTACAGGCCTTTGCCTCTTGCTTAACATTTGGGAGATGCTTCACTTAGGGTTTGGGACCATTCGAGACTCACTAAACAGTAAAAGGAGGGAACTTGAGGATCCGGGTGCTTATAATTATCCTTTCACTTGGAATACACCATCTGCTCCCCCTGGCTATAACATTGCTGTCAAACCAGATCAAATCCAGTACACCGAACTGTCCAATGCTAAGATTGCCTACAAGCAAAACAAGGCCAACACAGCCCAGGAACAGCAGTATGGCAGCCATGAGGAGAACCTCCCAGCTGACCTGGAGGCTCTGCAGCGGGAAATCAGGATGGCTCAGGAACGCCTGGATCTGGCAATTCAGGCCTACAGTCACCAAAACAAACCTCACGGTCCCCGGGAGAAGAAGGCCAAAGTGGGGTCCAAAGCTGGGTCCAACAAAAGCACTGCCAGTAGCAAATCAGGGGATGGGAAGACCTCAGTCTGGATTTAATCCTGGCGGGCTTAAAACCTCAGCTTTTCATAGTTTATGGTAAGCAGCAGCTCACTGAATAATGACTTCCATTGAGTAAACATTTGGCTCTGGTTATCTTCAGGGATGCTGTTGGCTCATGATCCAAGCTCAGGGGACTCCAAAGGCGGGGCTGAGCTGAGGGGGAGAAGGAAACACAGAGTTCCCGGGCACATGTTCTCAGCAATAATACAGTTGCAGAACTTTACATTCGTGTCAGGTGGTGGATATTTTCTTTGTTAACATTAGAAATGCAAAAATTCCCTTGTCGACCAAGAGGAACAGACATATTTAAATCATTCTTGTTGAACAGTTTTTGTATGTACAGTATTATGGTACTTTTTTTCAGTATGAAAACTTTTTTGTATTTGTACATTGAACTGGTGTAGTTAAACTTTTATATTAAAGGGGAAAAGGTCCTCATAAGTAATGCCTATTAGGCTAGTGTTACTGCTTTGTTCAGCAAATTCTGCCCTGGCTATAGAGTTTTTAATAGATGCTACACCTAATAAAAGTGCCTCTCATATTGCAGGAAAGATTTCAGATGTATAAAGAGACTGAAGAGGAGATAGCAGTTTTTAGTCTTAGAAAGTAAGTTCACAGTAGAAAGGAGGTTGACATCTTTCTTTTACATGAGAAATTTTTGAATCTCATTCATGTGACCAGAGTTGTGGCCAATTTTTGAAAACCTATTCTTGTTTTCCAAGGAAATAAATGATTCACTGTAGGACTTCTTTAAATATCAAGCATCACCAGTATATCTTTGATGGTGTGTGTATATAACTTAAAGTTCTTTCAAAAGCCTGATACAGAAATGTGTCCCCAGTTTGGTAACAATATGGAAAACCTGGCTAGAGATGATGTGGAGCTGTCTCTCAGAAAGGAAACCATGCCTGGAAAATGGGCCCTAATAGGATGCTTAGTTGTGAACCTGTTGGATTTGCCTTAAGCCTCTATCCAGAAACCTGCCTGCCTCCCTCTGGTTAAGAAGCCAGTGGTGGATATTTTCTTTGTTAACATTAGAAATACAAAAATTCCCTTGTCGACCAAGAATACTCAAAGCTACTTGTATTGGAAATGGCAGAAGGCCTAAATCCAAATTCCTTATTTTTGATTATTTACCAATGAACTTTTGTGATTAAACATCTTCTGCCACTGGAGGTTTATGCCTGAAAGGTCATGAGGTTCTGTCTATAAAAAGAGAAGTGCACTATTTATTCTTTGTAGGCATAATGTGTTTGTCACTGACAAGCATTAATGTTCACCCACTAGTCTTTTATTTATTTATTTATTTATTGTATTTCAAATAGTTTAATTTTAAAAATATTCTATTCAGTGCTAAAGTATGTCTTCACTCACTGTTGCCCATTTCCATTTTCTTAAACCTTTTTGAAACAAAAAATAAAATCACAAAGTTCAACATGCAGATTTCAAAGAAAAGGGAGCTTTCTAGAAACCGAGCTGAAGGAGTACTGTGGGGGATGGGTACCGTTGTCAGAACCTCAAATTCTTGCTGGGGCAGTTTGTGGCAGGAGGCAGGGATGCTGGAATGACAGTACAGGTAAGAACAAAGAAAGCTGCATGTGTGCGGACGTATGTGCTGAGGGCAGGGCACGAAGGACTGTCAGCAGCTAGGGTGCCCATGAGAGGCAGGACCACCTCAGGCATGGGCGGAATTGCCAGGACAGCAAGAATCTTGACAGGCTGCCCTCCTGTGGAGAAAAGTCTTTCCCTTCCCTCCATCGTCTCTACACAGTCCTCCTCCAGCAGCAGTCTACAGGGCCCCCAGCCCTAGGGGAAAGTCCGGGAGTCTACAGTCTTCATTCAAGTTCAAGTAACCTTAGGCACTCTCTCTTCTGGAGCATGCCTTCCACATCTCTCTTCTCGAGGAAGTTGCCAGCAGCTCAGTCCAGAGGTTCTGGAGCAGAGACTGCTGCCTGGAGGTGACAGAGGAATCTTGGGGTTGCCAATGCTACAGCTAACTTCTGGTGCAAAAAAGACGCTCCTCTTCTCGGGAGCAAGGAGACACAGGTGCGAGGGACAGGAAGATGACGCGACAGCCCCAAGTCCTGTGCCAGCCTTCCAACCCGGAAGGTTCATGTGTGCCAGGCTCTCGACCCCGATGCTTGCCCTTCCCCCAGCACACAGCGCAGCCAGAACCAGAATGCAATAAATAGAGGCAGGGCCAGGAGGCGGAGGGCTGGGACGGTGCTAGCTTTCTGACGCCGTCTGCGGCACTGTGGGTTGGTCCACACAGAAGCGCTTCAGGAGTGGGGCACCTGAGTCTTCCTCCTCTTCGGAGACCTGTGTCTCTAGTGGAACTGGTTCTTCCTTGGTGAGGGTGGGAGGTTCGTTAGCAACTTCCGAAGAGGGCAGGGAGGGCTTCTGCTGCGGGCTGGGGCTTGAGTTGGTGCTGCTGTCCCCCTTGAGCTGGTAGGCGTCAGACACGGAACTCTGGTTGCTGTTTTCATCCTGAAATTCAAGGAGAGAGGAATTGGCTGAGGCATCAGAGGGAAAGCCATTAGGTTCTCGGGCTGCTGAACTGTTCGATTTTGACTTTTCTTTCTCCTTGCTGTCACAGGAACCCACTTAAATATCCTCAGGGAAGTGTCACCCACTTTTTCTCCCATTTTCGCACTTTCTCCATGGCCACCATCACCTTCTCGATGTCGTCCTTGGCCCGGCTGCGGGTTTCCGCCCGGCCTGACATGGCGGCGGCGGAAGCGGCGGGGGCCAGGACACTGCTCCCAAAACACCGGGGATCGCGTGCCGCCGCCCCACCGACTAGTCTTTTATTGTCATTTTCAACCTTATGTTGGAGAACTTTGCTTTCTCTTCCCGTTTGCATTGTCTTAAATTTTGTGAGCTTCTGACAAAGAGCTTGGTAAAGGTTTAAAGGGGCCTTTGTTCCAACAGGGAGCATTTTATTATGGCGGGGGGGGTCTCACTCTTTTCAAACGAAAGCTATTGTAAGCCACCTCTGACTTGGAAATTCTAAAAGTATTAATATTTTTTATATCTTAATTGTAAAATGTCAGTTCTCCATTATTTAGATGAATCGTAGAACAACACCCTTTGTGCAGTGTTTTTCTTTGTTTCTCCATTGCATTCCTTCCCCCACCAAAAAAAAGAAACAAGGAAATTTTTTTTGAGACAGGGTTTCCCCCCGTCATCCAGGCTGGAATGCAGGAGCATGATCTCGGCTCACTGCAGCCTCTTTCTCCCAGGCTCAAGCGATCATTCCACCTCAGCCTCCTGATTAGCTGGGACTACAGACATGTGCCACCATACTCAGCAAATTCTTTTCTTAAAAACAAATTTTTGTAGAGATGAGGTCTCACTATGTTGCCCAGGCTGGTCTCAAACCTTCGGGTTCAAGTGATCCTCCTACCTCAGCCTTCCAGAGTGTTAGTATTATAGGCATGAGCCACTATGCCCAGCCTACAAAATGTAGCCTTATCTTTTATCCATTCGTTTACTTTTATTTGCTTTAAAATAAAAAAATTCAAATTTTAGCCTAGAGAAGTGCCTCAGGAACTCTAAACATCTAAAGCAAAAATTAAACTCAGGTGAGACTGAAGGAGAAATTTCAGAAAGTAATACACATGGATATTTATCACGGATAATTAATAGACATGCACAGTTTCCTTCAAATCAAACATTTAATAAGGAAATTCGTATAATTCCAAGAAAACAGGCAAAATTTTGAACACATAAACCTAAGATAAAGAACTACCAGTTAAACCAGTTAATTCTTAGGTCACTGGAGCCTCAAGCAGGTTTTTTAATTGAAGGACAAAAAGTCTGCATACATTCACGTTATCTATTCAGAGCCTGAGGGAAAAGACAGTGGCTTTGCCAGTGGAAAGGTTGGGGATTTGAGAATGATACAGAGGGAAGAAGTCAAGCAGAAAGGCCAAGAAGAACCAGGCCAAAGACATTTGGCGCCAGAAGCATCCACTTAGTTTCTATGAAGAGTGCCCCTGGTGTTTCATCTTGGCTTATTCTGATGAGAATGTTATCTTTTGTGTCTGGATAACTCGTCAACTTCTTAAAGTACACATAAGATATTCTGTCACCTCCCCACATGCACACACTTTTAAAATCTATTTTTATTCTCTTGCTGTGTAATTATGTCAAGAATTTTCCAGCTCTGTCTTCTTAGTACATGTCTTCCTGCCTTTGAAGCATATGAGTTTGTCAAAGTCATTTTCCCCTAATGACATATTGTGGACTTATATTAAGAAAATGGGCCGAGCGCAGTGGCTCACGCCTGTAATCCCAGCACTTTGGGAGGCCTAGGCAGGTGGATTACCTGAGGCCAGGAGTTCAAGACCAGCCTGGCCACCATGGTGAAACCCCATCTCTACTGAAAACACAAAAATTAGCTGGGCATGGTAGGCGAATGCCTGTAATCCCAGCTACTCAGGAGGCTGAGGCAGGAGAATCACTTGAACCCAGGAGACAGAGGTTGCAGTGAGCCAAGATTGTGCCATTGCACTCCAGCCTGAACAACGGAGTGAGACTCTGTCTCAAAAAAAAAAAAAAAGAAAGAAAATGACCCTATTGATGTCTAGCTAACCCATTAGTGGGATCTGCATTGAATCTGTAAGGATATTGTTCTGGAACATACCAGGTGGGTTTTGTATAAAGAGCCTGGCCAACATTTGGTTCCCCCAGTCAGAATCAGATTGTTTTGAATTGCCATGTAAGAGGTGCTCCATCATGACACTTGCTTCTCCTCCAATCAGAAGTTGAGTGCTTAGTTCTCACCTAGAATCAGGATACAATCAACATGCTTATGTTTCTTAACACACTTGAGTTTATACAGATGTGGTGTGTCCTTTGCTCTTCTTAAAACCTGTTATTCAGAAGAGATTTGTAAAATAGGCTTTTGCTTTTTTGTTGTTGTTTAATTCAAGTTTGAGGGGGAAATTAGATAACATTTTCCTCTAAAGAAATGTTAATGTTCATTTTGTGGCTTTGTTTTTGCTTAGGATTTAGTTTTGCCTGTTTCTATATTTGTTCATTTAAAGCCACAAGTATGTTACATCATTTGAAGTCAGTTTTCCTGGGGGGATTTTCCTTGACTAATGTCTGTAGAATTTATTCTTGATAAAGATGAACTTTGTGGCCAACTGCAGTGGCTCACACTTGTAATCCCAGCACTTTGGGAGGCTGAGGCAGGTGGATCACGAGGTCAGGAGT